GAAAGCCCTTGAAGGGGAGCGGTTCAAGTGCCGAGTGGCATGTATGTGTACGTAAGTCCGGGGTGCCCGCTACCCACCTCTGCCCCCCCCCCACACGAAACATTTCTAAAATAGCAACCGCAAACCAGACAGAATGTAAATCTTCACTCTGACAAGGGCAGAAGAAAAAGATGTTGGAGGGCCGTGGAATAACAAAGATTCATTTACAGCTCCGGCAGCGCAGAAATGGGTCAGAGAGCTGAAATAAGACTCCCCCAGGCTGCTCCCACCCCCCCTTTTTTTTTTCTTTTTTTAAAGTAATGAATTACAGGTTTTTCCACCGAGTGGAGCCCAATTATATTACATCTGCTAAGAGCTTCATCATCGCCCCGTGATGGAGGAATGCGGCGCGCGGGCAAACTTTGAATAGAATCGTTTAATTGTCGCAGCGTGTTGTTGTGGCGACGGGGGAACAAGAAGGTGCGAGAAAGGAAGGGGGAAAAAAAAAAAAAAAAGGTGGTGACAGAGCGGCAGGGAACCCTGCTGTGAAAACGACTCCAGTTACTTCCAATTGACTGGCGACCGGTCCGGGGCGTACCCTGCCTGTGGCACAAAATCAGCTGGGATAGGCTCCAGCTCGACTGCAACCCCAATGCAGACAAGCACTATAGAAAATGGACGTACACATTGCGGTTTGGCTGCATATAACTGACATTAAAAGTTGGCCCCAAAAATGGATACGTACTGTCGGTCCATGCGCACGCCAGTCATAAGACCCGGATCAAATTTTGCAAGATTTATAAATCGTGAGCAGAGTAGCATAAGTGCCCAGGTCATTTGTAACTTGCTATCACAATACCCAAACCGACAAAAAGGTTGTTTGCATAGGTCAGCGGTATTCAAACTACGGCCCGGGGCCCATTTGTGAATTGCAATCCATTTACCGTATTTTCCACATGAAAAGGCACACTGGATTATGAGGCGCACCATCAATGAATGACCTATTTTGGAATTTGTTTCACACAGTGGGCGCACCGTATTATAAGACGCAATCTACAATGCATCCACTAGATGGAGCTACGCTCAAGGAAATGCCAACAGAACGATCAGATGTCAGTAAAACATAAAACAGCGACACAGTTCACTTAACCAACAGCAAGTTATAACTTATAACTCGTTAACGTTGAACACTCTTGCCGCTGCTCTATTTCCGTGTTCAACTGCGAAACCGACCGCCTTAAGTTTGAACTTTGCGTTGTCAGCATGTCTCGAGCAAGGAGCCATTTTGTAATGAACGTAATGACCATACACAAGGCGCATCGGATTTTAAGGCGCACTGTGAGCTTTTAAGAAAATGGAAGGCTTTTTGGTCCGCCTTTTAGTGCGGAAAGTACACTCGTTAGAAATACAGCCAGTGAGAGTTTTGTCCTTGCACGCAAATAAAAAGTGACGACAAGAGAGCACTCCGGAGGAAGCAAGATGAGGTCAAAGACCGCGCCGCATTCTCCCTCAAGATGCGCACTTCCCGTCCAACAGCCTTACTCAGCACCCCGGAGGAAGACGAGGATGACGCCTCAAAAGGAGGACGTTCTTTGGTTGTTGTTGTTTTTTTTTCTTTTCATGGCATGACACAGCTCAATAAAAGAGGCTGACGACTGTGGAGGTTTCACTGCCACGTTTTTTTCTGTGGACTCTACTTTCTATTGCGTCGGCAAGGTTATTAGAGTTCGTGAAAACAAAATGAAAGGTGGGAAAGCCAATACTCAATCTTCAAATTAAGTTCATTCAAGAAAAAAAAAATGCCTCTCAAAAATTTGAAAAGCTGCTCCTCAAATGAAGTCAATAATTGGCAAAACTGCTGCCCATAGTTAAAAAAATAAAAAATAAAAATATTGTGAGCCCAGGCTTGTTTAATAAATACAGCATTTCATACAAATATCTCCTGCAATCATAACTTCACGACAGCAACTTTACTAACGACTTCAGTTCATATTCCGGGTACGTCACCACCGTCGTAAACATCCGACTCCTGCTTTAATATCATGAAAATGCATTTTAGAAGTTAAAGAGGCAAGACCTGGAACCGAATACCAGACAAAGTGGACCACTGGACCGGGAGTAAATGTTAATGCTTTCCCACCACAGTGTCTTGTCTATAAAAAGAAAAAAAAAAAGTGACCACACAGGGTTTTTTTTCTTGTCCACAAATAGCCATCTTTCAGGCTTTCATGCCACTGTGAAGCTCTCCAAGGTGTTACAACTTGCGAGTTCTCGGACGTGCTGCCAAAAAGACGACAGTAAACTTCAATGGCTACCAGGGTGAGATTTCCCGTAACCTCTCCCCTCTGAAAAAAAATCTATTTACTAATTCGACCATCCTGCTCCAAAGACACGGCTGGAATTGCTGCCATCACAGTTTCCATTTTCTCCTGGTGAAAGTGGGCCAAAAAAAAAAGAAAGAGAGATGACTGCAGGGCTTCCGAGTCACTATGAAGTCACGCCAGCTAATCATCTCTTAATGCTCGTTTGGATTTCCCAAAAGTCACACAACCCGTGACGATATGCCCGTGCGCTGTCAATTTGAAACTCCTCTTCCCATTTTAGCTTCGTGCTAGGAGCGCTTCTTGAAATTCTTGACTAATGGCTCATATAATTGCAGACTTGCATTTCGTTCTTTTCCATATTATTTAAAAAAAAAAAAAAGTATGCCAATCCATTTTCAGTAACCAACGCTGCATTCTGGGAGGGTGGTAAAATGCAATGAAAGGCTTCGCCATCTACTAAAAATACACTTTTGTCCTTGATCCTCTGCAGGATGTGTTGTGTAGCAGGCCACAATTGGGATGCAGCTTTGTTGGCAGTACGGGTGGACACCACACGGTGCAAACACTCTTTTCGGGCACTTCCGTGTGGCCCAGGTCCCATTTTGCCTACATGCAGTGTTTGGAGTGAAAGTCGCGAAAAAGACTTCAGACTGGCTCCGGCTCAATTAGTGGAAGCCAGAGCTCAGCGCAAACATGGTGCATCAGCATTTAGCTGTTCTGCTGCACACAAACGGAATTAAGCTGCCAACAGAAGTGAATCTCTACGAGTAGAGTCGTATGATCATCGGTGCAGAGAGGACGCCGAGAACTGCCGACTGGGAAACAAGCACAACAACATGAGCGGACGCCCCGCATTATTGCTCGAGGCAGTATGAGGTCAGGGGTTAAAGAGGTTTTATAGTTCGGATAACGTGGCCTCCGGAGCTGAACTAATAAATAAAAGAGAGGCGAGCGGCGGACGGAGGAACGCACATTCTGTGCTCCGTCCCGGCCAGAGCCACACCAACAAACCGGGAACGTCCAATCAACTCGCTCCGTTTACACACACACACACACACACACACACACACACACACACACACACACACACACACACACACAGCGTGACGTGGCGCGCGGTCTGTCCGGGACACTTTGGATCTTGGGCTGCTCTCAGCCTAAGTTGTTTTCCTGGAAGAGTTTGAGATGACATGGAGCTTTGAGGAATGCACTTGAGCAAGCGCAGCAGCGCCAGACATGGAGGACGACATGTGCGCCGAGATCTAAACATCAACTTAGGCAGGGGACAGTGAATTCGAGTTTATAGTGGGGGATCGAGTCCAAACACACCGGCAACAGGTCAACGGCTGCAATATTGCTCGAGTCTATTTAAAGAGGGGGAAAAATTGACTGGTTTTACTCCTCCAAACTCACTTTTGAACACAACTAAACTTACGATGACAGATTATGCCTTTAAGAGGCGGGGCCTGGTGGAGATGCACCTGACATCAAGTCTGCGTGTGTCTGGGCATGAGCGGTGGCCGACAGCGGTCTGCTCAGTTTCTGTTTTACCGTTTTCCGAGCACTCAAAATACATCTGAAAAGTGTGGCCTTTCCCACATGCGAGGGCATTCCAGGAAGTCAACTGGCCCCCCCAAAAAATGCGTTCATGCCAATTGCAGAATCACTGGCACGACTTGCCATCGCAAATAAGATAAAATAAGATTAAGATTTAACTTTTATAGACGTAAGGGACCAAAAATAACTAAAAATAACGCACTACACCACAAGCTAATCCCCTCTGGAACATTTTTGAGAGACATCCGAAAGAAAAATGTGACCCTAAAATCATTCAAAAAACATGACCTGTTCAATCGTCACATTAATTGGGTGAAATGTCACCGCTCGGTCTATATTGGCTTATTCTTGCTATTCTATATTTTAAGACCGAGATAACTCGTCTTCAAATCGAGTCTTAAACACTTAGATCACGAGAAAAAAAAATACAGTTCACAATCCAAGCATAGATTCCACCAACAACCAAAAACGTTTAACAACACCCAACAGTGTCACGTCAGTTTAAGGAGTTAATACTCAAAATGTATCTAACAACAAAAAAAGATGAACATTTCAACTAAAGTACATCGTAGTGACCAGGTTTGCAGTTGATTCATACTCACGTTAGCAAATGGCTACAGAAGAGTTTAGCTCGTCGAGTTTTGCTGACACAAGCCTTGCTCTGATCAACCAATCAGAGAACAGCAAAATGGTGACGTTTGGCGCCACAACGAGCGGGCCCGACGAAGCCGATTTGAAACGGTGCTTTTCCGAATCAGTCACTTTGCCGATCGGCAAGCATCGGCAAGCGCGAGTAAGTTTTGACGGCCATTGTTGGATGAAATCCACATGACAGCTCCTAGTGGCCGAAATCGGATTTTTTTTTTACGTCCGGCGCACAAGAACACAGCATTTGTACCACGTGCTAACTTATTTTTGAAGTCAACTGCTCTAATTGCCTCGTAGCAAATCACCCACGTGATTAGCAGATGATCACATGCCAATCAAAACAAATGCCGCGTGTTCACGTGGAACTTGGCTACAACGCGAACTGAGCGAAACTTTTGCATGTAAATTAAACTAAGGCCCATTAGGGATGCTCGAAAACATTCCACAACAACACAACTATATATGTGCGCGTGTTTAAAAAAAATGGAATACCTAGCAACATGAATTCCAGCTTCTTTCGGTCCACTCGGAAGCGCTCCTCAGTCCACTCCGGATCGGGCAGCTGGTGGGGTCCGCTCAGGTCCTCCTCGGAGCCCGGCAAAGGCGAGTCTGTGCTGCGCTCGCTGTTGGAGCCCTGGTCCGACTGCTGCTGCTGCAAGTATCCGCTCAAAGCGTCGCACTGGGCGGCCATGGCGGTGCTACTCGTCGGCGTCGGTGCTGGAGGACTCAAAGAAAGTTGCCGAGTACTGCTGCTGGACCGCGTGGTGCGTCACTCGGGAGCTGGGCCTCGCGAAACCTTCACGCAGCGTCATTTCCCCCCATTTGAGCGCCGATTTCGGGGGACTAAAAATAGGCAGGCTCCGCTCTTCTCCGCGGGCAGGCTGTGCGCTCAAGTGCTGCGAGAAAGTCTTCCAAGTAAAGTTTCGCGTGACATCCAGATCTCAGACTCCTCCCAGGAACACCGCCTCCCTTTTACGACCAAAGCATGGAGCTGTTCGAACATCGATTACATATCCTTACTACTAGACAACTTGTCCTCACTAGTTCAACGATTTTCTACAAATGTGACATTTCTGCACAACTACATGTTACTAGTATGGAAAAAAATCGGCACCAGTGGACATCTGCACACTATTAATACTACTAGCGGTGTGATGTGATGTGTCAAAGCGTGTACAGTAGTTTCACCTCACCATAACATGTACTAGTACACCGACCCTCCAGCTAGCAAGACAACGTCATACGGGAGTGAACAAAACATGACTACACTGCGGGGGGAACAACTTTGGATTTACTTGTTTAGAACATGTACATCGGTTGCACATCGATGGAATTTTCCCATTTTTCCCCAAAAATTAAGGTTTTTTTTTCCCCTCCCCAATTTAGTAAGACACTGTGGCGCACTGAATTGTTTTACTAGTGATGACCAAGAGCACAAATTAACTTTAGCACTTCACTCGTAGTATACGCATGTCAACTCGTGCAGTTTGACCTCACTTGACTTATGTTGTTGTCCGACTCGCATGTCAAAGTTGCTCTACAAGTGTAACTAGTGGAAAGAAACATGAGCGGACGCAGTCATCCCATGAGTACAATTGAATTGTCTTGCAAGTGAGAAGATTTTTCCAAAGTACAGCAACGAAGTACAAAAAAAAAAAAAATGGAAAGCTGCAAATGTTTTCAAACGGCGAAGTGCTGCGTTGCGGCCACGTTATCATCTGGAAAGGCGCATTCTTCCCGCAAAGCCACCAGGCAACGGTTTTATTGGCCTGCAGAGGAAACAATCCGCATCCTGTCAAGTGGGGGAAAGCGGAAGCAATACTGCAAAGTTCAAGCAAAACAAAACAAAAAAACGGGCCGAGAGGGAGTGAAACACGCGCCATTTCATATTCATCTGCTTTATAAGCGGATGAATATTTATGAAAATTATGAAGATTTGGGATATTTTGTCATGCCTGGTCTAGGCACTATGGCTTGAAAGTTTTATTAAAAAAAATTTTTAATCCCCTTTTGCCCCCCCCTCCTTTTTTGTATGCTGAAAGAACACGTTTTGCCTTATGTTTTATTTCCAACTAAAGAGTTCCGACAGCTTCAGCCAAGTTTAATTTAAGAGCAACTTTCCAACACTCCTAATGTCCATGTTGTCCAAAGCTGCTCAAGTCCCTAAAAGACATACATCTGCTCTTAATAAATCATACAAGCCAAAAAAAAAAAAAAAAAAACACAGAAAAAGCTACGCAGTTTTGTTGGTTCTGCTATCATGATTGTTTGATGTTATGAGTCATTCCATAAATACATTTTTAATAAATTTTAAATGATTCCCAGCTTGCTCATGCTCTTTTTCTCATGTAGAGTTGCACCCGGGATGCAAAATTTTGGGCCTTGGAAGCACATAAAATCGATAAAATCACAGATTGTAAAATTGAACAGGTTTTTTTTCGCACATTTTGTCTGTTTCATTGTCGGATTAATTACCCAAGTAGTTTTGGGCAGGTGAAAAATTCACTAAACAGTGATCGGTTTGGATTCATAATCGTGCATTTTTTTGCTGTGCATAAAAATGTGCCACCACTTCCAAAACGGTGACTTTTCACCATCAAATGAATTTGTCCCATCTCGACTAGCAGGGAAAGAAAGCCGAAACAGCTCCACGTTTAATCGACAAAACATTCTATACAGCGAGAGCAAAACGATTCAATAATCACCTGAAAGCATAATTTCGGACATAAATATTTTATAAAGGCTAATTTGCTCTGTGACACCGAGTTTGCGAGGGTCTCAGGCCTGTGCAGAAAAAGTCAAGGCCGCCCTCTAGTGGTCATCAAATTTATCACCGGCATGCGTGAAGTCACGTGGGTGGGAAAAAATTAAATGCAACTCAAATCGTGTGGCGTGTCAAGTAAAATGAGCATAGTTTTATTCCATATAAATCTCTCCAAAGTAAAATAATGTGAGGTATCATCACCATTGCTCATATCATCATCATCATCATAAAACAATAATAATTCCAATTGAATTCAAGCAGAAGAAACGGAACGGTGGAGACATTCGGGTCATGGTGTCCAGTTTGAGAAGTCAAAGTGCTCCCAGCGTAAACTGAAAACAGTGTGGCGGCGTGGGGGACAGTGTGGCGGCGCAGTACTGGCTTTTTTTTTTCTCTTTAAACTTGATCTGTCATTTGGAATGTTGATGCTGAAACTTGCCTTGCCTTCACATCGCAAACTTCCTCGTCCATTCTTTGGCCGTGTCGTTGTACCTGGACGTAACAGTGAAAAAAAAAATAATAAAAAATAGTTGAGAGAAAGAAAGAAAAAAAAAAAAAGAAAAGATTTGACCGACTGGGTTTTCAGGCTTACTTTTGTCGGTCCGATTTGTACGTGTGCGCTACTTCGGGGACTAAAGGGTCGTCGGGGTTGGGATCGCACAGCAAAGAGCAGATGGATAACAAGACTGCAACAGGACACAACAGGCACACGCGTTTCCGTCAGTCAATGAGCAAGCTGATTCACATTTCAGGCATCAATTCAATTGAAAATATAGTTCCACAAATATGTCGAGAAAAAAATTCGGTTGTTCTATTTGGCCTTCAGAAAGCGAGGCGGGACGGCATGGGTCCAAGAAGGGTCCCAAAGTGTTCCAAGATGAAAGCTGAAATGTCAAACTGAAGGTTGGCTCTTAATAGGGACCTTCAAATCATTAGGCAAAGTATATTCAGACTAAATCAACGACATTTCCCGGAAGCGCAGTGAAATATTTACGCTACTCCTCAATCTTTTTGGGCCACACGCCCCACCCCCAGCATGCAGATCATTTCGAGAAACCCGGACTGCACTTTCGAGCTCAGATCACGCGACTATTCTGCACGATATGAGGACAACATTGCGAGACTAATAAAGGTTTTCTTATCTTAACAATATCGATATTGCGACATAAAAATAAATAAATAAATAAATAAATAAATAAAATTCTCTCATGCTGCCAACTAAGCAAGCGCAATGTGGGTCTTAGCTAATTTATTGTAATACTCCGAGATACTGTTCACCTATTAAATGGCGATGCACATTTAAGGTTGCATTAAAATTCAGATCAAAGCATCTCAATGCATATGAAATTTATACTGTGCGTCTTGGCAACATACAAAATGCATTGGCCCATTCTCACGACATTGCACTTGGAAATGCATCCGTTGGTATGTCATGCTTTAAAACGGCATTCTTGTGCATGGATGTCTGCTCGGTGAAATGAACCTCGCGTTACTTCATGCTGTAAACGCAGCCATCTTGTAGCGAAAAAAAAAAAGTTATAAACAATTGAATTAGAACTGGGCAATTTGGATCTGCAGCGTCCACCCAGCCTGAATTCACATCTTATAAAAAAAATCAACATACCTTTTGATACGGTAAGGGCAGGCGACCACTGCGACCTCAGTATGTCCAGGCAGATGCTACCGTTGCTGTTTATATTTGGATGATAGATTTTTGTGGTAAAAGCCACCTGTGGGGGAGGCACAAATGAAGAGAAACACAACGCAACAGTTAAATGGCTTCATGTTGAGCATGCAAGTGTGACTTGATCCTCCCGTCAAACGGTTGATACGGTGCGCATCAGGAGGATTTGACTTTGCCCACACGAGCTTAGCTCGGCAGCTCGGTTTGGGATAGCGATGATGCGCTGCTTCCACGAGGGAAAACAGAAACCATGCCGTCTCCATTGGGGATCGCGCGTATGCTTTCGCAGTCGCCTTTTCAGAAACGGAGGTTCTGAATGCAGCCGCCCCCAGTTGTCACGGTAACGAAAGCCAGACTTCGCCATTGGCCCGGCAGCATATGGGGCGGGCTCGCTCGCTTTTTACAAGGCCCACTCTCAGAAAGTAATCACGAGGAATCAGCAAGACAAAAACAGGGCAATGTGAAAGCGCTCCATTTCTTTTATATCGTACCTGGGAAGTGTTTTAAATTGTGAATAAAATGCAGTGGGAGTGGAATGTACCAACTGTCAAACGGACCAACATTTTCAGAAAAGTATCCATCAAACAAGCACAAAATCTCATGAGGTCAAACTAACATAAAACGGTGCCAGTGAATTTAAGACGGGATTTATCGAGGTGACATTTTGACCTTCGCGCAGATTAATCCGGTTTCCATTTTTTCTTCGGGAGAAAAATTGCTTTGAAATCCAGTACGTGATTGTGTTAAAAGACATTTGAGATTCCCAACATCATAAAGACTTGTTGGAAGCTCGCAGCGAAATCTGCGAGATGGGAAAACCTACCTTGGGGGGTTTGAAGGGATAGTCGGTGGGGAAATGCACAGAAAGGAAGAAAACCCCTCCATTGTACGGGCTGTCATTCTAAGATGGAGAAAGAAAACAACCATGGTAGACTGAACAAAGACGGCATAGAGCTATATATATTAAAGAAAAAAAAAACTATTATCTCAACAATATGTTGGACTGTCCCAGAGTGTGACAGGCTAAACCGTATAAAACAGGAAGTAAGGGTGTGCTGCAAACTAGTCACATAATGCTCTATTGTCGACACATCCAGAAGCAGCACGCCAAAAAGAAATGCAGGGGAAACAAAGGAAAAAAAAAAAATCTAGAAAAAGCTCACCGGTCCTGTGATGCTGGCTTGCCAATGGAACACTACGAAAAAACAAAAGGTGATTAACATTGCAAGTCAAGTTCTTTCTGAGATTGTGTGTGTGTGTGTGTGTGTGAATGCCCAAAGGTTTTGCTACAGTTGAAAAAGTTCCGTAACTTCTTACCTAAGACGTCAAAAGACACCATATCAATATGCAAATACGCTCGAGAGGAGCTGCAGCCTTGTAGCAATTACAGTCAACCCTGCCTACTTGCACTTTTGGTTCTGTAGGACCTAACCATCAAAGCATTTGCCAGACTATTTGATATTTTTGCTGCATTGTGAACAACCACACTGGGTTGGCCACTTGCTCATAGCCAAGTGGCTTGACAGCATACAACAGCAGCATGCAAGATTCTAGTTGAGGTCCAAACGAGAAGTCGAGGTTTCTCGTCGGGTTTCTGCCCGAGACAGCGATCTCGTCTTCGTCACGAACGCCTGCGAAGGGCGAGACCTCACTGTTACATGTTTCCAGGATTCTATGTCAATAGGATCATGGGAAGAATTCCATCGGATTTGGACGATCAATGACACCTAGGAGCTTTTCGGTCGTGCCCATGACAAATCATTTAACAAAAACAACCAGGGATGTTTATCTTTAAGGGTTTGACACTCATCGTATTCTTTTAGGGTTTCTAATTCTAACACACTTAAGACCTCTGCCATGCAGAAACGATAAAAATGAAAGTAAGATGACGACGTCGTCCACTCACTATCATCTCCGACCGGTCCCGCCGAACACGATGCAGGAGGGTCCCGCTTCAAGTCACACAATTCCTACACCAAAACACAATTAAAGAAGCATTTTTGGTATCCGTTCCGAGATTGAGTTTGTGCTTGTTGCGTATGCGGGTAAGGAACGATGAAAAGCAAACACGTTCGAGTGAACACGCCTTAAACCTTTTCTGCTAGGCCAACTTTGAGCTAGCCGCGAAGTTAGCTTACTCGCGTTGAAACGAAACAACCACTTAAAATCAATTGTTCCGATTGTAACGTCAACACCATATACGTCGACTTTGGTTCTCATTTTTTAAATAAAAGCTGAATCCATCCACTTGAATGTTTAAATTAAACTAGTTCGCGAACAAGGCGTTAAGACCGGCCGGCGCGATGGCTGTTTTCGATACATCAGAAGTGATACGGCCAAACTCACCTTCTTTATTCTTTTCAAAGCCATGACAAGTCTTAAGTGTAGCTTACGGGAGATTGTGGTGGCAAACGGCAAACGGACAACGAGCAAACAAGATCAATTGGCACCAGATGTTTAGTATTTAAAGAGCAAACTGGTTCTCTATTGTTTCCGCGTTTACTTTTTTTTTTTTTTTGGTTGAGCTCGGTGCATTGTGGGAATTGTAGTTGGTGCTAAAGCCCCTCTTAAAGGGACCGCACTCGAAAGACTTCTTCGCCATGACGTCACACCTACTTTCGGGTGACAAGGCAAAAGTAAGAAGGATGTTGCAATAAAATTACTCTTACAATTTATCCCCAAAGTTACTTACGTAAATGTAAAGGAATAAATGGAGCTTCTTACGACCCATCTTCGGTAAGCGAAAGCTACTTCTGCCAAAAGTATTACCCTGGCAGCGGATTGTTTACAATGGTTCAAACATTCAAACCATGAGAAAAGTGACCCTGACTCATGTGTAAAGGGCGGGTGGGGTGGGGAGGGGGGGGGGAAGACATTTTTATGATGTGCAAGCTGTAGTGGCGAGGTGCTCTGTTGCTTTCTGGCTTTGCGCTTGGTCATGCACTGAAACAGACACGACAGCCCGAGGTGCTCTTTAAAATTTGATGCTTTAGCCTAAAATACCCGTCGTGATGAATGCTTGACCTTCGAATACAGATCTCTGATGACGCATTAAAAACAAACCAGCTTTCACAGGATTGCATTCAGCTTTCAAGACTAGAACGACTTGCGCAATCTCACCAAATCAAATATTTTATGGACAATTCTAAATTTACAAAGATAACAATGAGGACAATGGGTCGATTTGACCCGGCCATTCTCAATGTGTCCAAAACATCCCCGAGAAACATTGTTGGAGCTCATTATGAACCGTTTTCATTGCAAATGTGTCAAAATGAATCATTTTTTTACTGTCTGTTGGTGGTGCCAAGTTTCATAAGCGGAAAGGCTTGTTGTTCTTCAACTTGAAAGGGGGTCAATTTGACCCACAACATAACAGGAGGGTTAAGTTAATGAAGTCCCCACTGAAGGTCCTGGTACCACCTATGGCCCATTTCGACCAACAAAGTACTGTCAACTCCTCGTCTGTGTGCCCGTCCGTGATAAAATAAATAAATCACAGGGGAAAACCAGGTGAGCTGAATATTCAGGTCCACCTGCCCCAAACCGCAAATCCAAAGAGAGCAAAGGGGACGAGAGGACAGTCACAGGAAACAAACACGAGCGCTAGCTACGAAGAGGGGGTCACATCTGCAATGTTTCATGCTTCAACTGCGCTGCCGAGCTCGAACGGAATGACATCCTTACCGTTTGTTACCACCGCATTCATTCACACGGAATCAAAACGGCGCATAGGCAAATTCCTAATATGTTCTCAGCATATCCAGAGTCTGTCACTGCTTTGAGTATTAGTCGGAAAAAAAAGTGGTATGGCACATCCCCAGAACTAAACTAAAGTCCACGAGCTTAATACTAACAAATGGTAAATTCTTTATCCATCCATCCATCCATTTTTCTGATCCGTTTTATCTTCACAAGGGTCGCGGGGCGTGCTGGAGCCCATTCCAGCTGTCTTCGGGCAGTAGGCGGGGGACACTCCGAACCGGTTGCCAGCCAATCGCAGGGTGGAAATTTGATTTTACATATACATATACAGGTATATATATATATATATAGAGAGAGAGAGAGAGAGAGAGAGAGAGAGAGAGAGAGAGAGAGAGAGAAAGAGAGAGAGATAAACAAATAAAACAAAAAAATCGTTATTTGTAGGCTGAGTAAATCATTTTGGAATGAGAGAAATTTGATCATTTTATATGGTCCACCTAATCTTTGATGACCTAATATTCCGAAGCACACTGAGATTTTTTTTTGTTTTTTCATTTTTAAGGTCCTGCTATTGTTTGCGTGACGTGCAATTTGTAGTTCAAATGAACACGTCGGCGACTTTCTATAAACGCGCTGGACGTCGATTCTATTCGGGAACTCAGCGTTCCTCAAAACGGGCTGCAACTTATTCCGCGCACGCGATTGGTCCCGGATCGATGCGCGTCCACGGCGCGGCGAGGGTGCGCGCCTGCTTGCTCGGCAGCATAGCGGGGAGGAAGGAGCGCGGCGAGTGTCGGCGAGCAAAAGAGCGAGACGGGGAGCGAGTCGTCCGCCGAATGTCCGCCTCCCGGAGCCACCGATGAGCCCGCCTCGCCTTCCTCGGCGCGCCGCTTGACAACGCTCGAGGCCAGCTGGGTCCACGGCGTCCGCGCAACGTCCCGATCCACCGGTCCCACCAGCCTTGGGGGTGGGGGGCTGCGCTTTTTTTCAGGTGAACAACCCCCCTCCCCGCTCGCACCGCCGACTGTCTTCGTCTTTCTCCTCGCCTGCTTTTATTTGTTGTTGTCTTGTCTTGTGTGTTTACGCGCGGACGAGGGGCGTTGTTGATCGCTGTCCAAGGTGCTGCCCGAGACACACAAGGCGGCCTCGTGCACGAGCAGCTCGCATGCATGCGCCACTTCGTGCTTTCTTGCATTCTTTCTTTTCGTTTTTTTTTTTTTAATGCATGCATGTATGCATGCACGCGACGTAAGTGGAGGAGAAAGGAGGAGGGGGCTATTTCATCTTGTGCGCGGGGGATAAATAACGGCAATGACGACGGAGCGCTCCATTTGGCTGCGTGAGCCCCCGAGTGGCTGCTGTGTCTTAGCTGCATTGTGGAGGACCTCCTCCAGGGACGGTGTGCCGTTCCGACTGCATCTGCCTACAGTCGGTTGCTCTCATCTTCGGCCGAGACATTTTGACGGTGCGTCCCCACCATCAGGCAAAAATACCAAATGACTGTTCGGCGGTGTGTCACAATGTGGTGCATTCGTCCGACTTCCGTGCAGGCCGCCTGGGTTCACATCACGCTCAGCGATGGTGTGAATGTCGGTGGGAACGTTTGTCTCTTTATGTGCCGTATGACTGGCGAGCGACCAATCCAGGGTGTCGTCGGCTTTTCACAGCTCCCCTGTGACCCCCGAACATGATAAGCGGTGCGGAATATGGCCCAGTTGCGGATTATTTTTGAATTTCCGCTTTGTTATTTGTCGTTTCTGGGCCGCTATGTTCCAGCAAAACCCTGTCGAAATTGGAATTGGTGTCAAGGAAGTAAGATGACGTGATGCATCTCTCCGGAGAGACAAGCTTCGCGCATGTCGTGTCGAAGCCAAGTTTAGCCTGGGTTGTTCAAGGCGGCTTGTACACATGCACAAACTTTTTTGAAATCAAATCATTGGCAAGCCTTTTATTTTTTTAGATGAGTTTGAACTTAGTTTGAAGTTGTAATATCACCATCTACCACTAGATGGCATACATGGATTTTTTTGCACTTTACACTCCAACCTATTTGACCGATTTGGAATGACATAGAACGTAGAACCTGAATAATATGAACGTTTTGAGTTGATTTTTGTGAGAAAATGCACAAAATTATTTGCACCAAATGTTTTCTTGAGCATTCTTGTACGGTCCCTGAATGGTAATTTTTATGCATTTATGCAATGTTTTCTGTAGTTGTGTGCATATACTATTGACGTTTTTGTCAAAAAGGCATATGCCTAGGCAAATAAACGTTGGCACACACTTGGCTAAATTGCTCACCTTAAGCGGTGGGGGTAAAGTGATAGTTTCTCAAGTATTTGTGGCATGGGCAAATTCCTGGCAGCGCCCCTGTTGTCGGGTTGAATGAAGAAAGCTGATTCCACTGGCAGAAGCTGAGCTCGGGAGGAAAAAAAAAACAAAAAACAAACGACCTGAAAGACAAAAGCATTTTCGCTTGTGGAGACTTTATACACTCCTCTTGACATCAAGTAAAAGAAGCTGTGACGTTGGAGCTGATGCTAATCTGCGCATCCAGCAAAACTCAACGCAGCTCTGCTTACCTCTTGGCTTTGATGTGGCGGCATCCTGGAAAGTAGCTTATTTCATCTTGAGTCACAAGACAGTCATTTCATGTCATTTTCGACACTCGTATCCGGAACAGGGTCACAGTGGGGGTGCTGGAGCCTCTCCCAGATGACAGAGGACACCTTGAACTGGTCGGGCGCTTCAATGGAAGGGTCCTTTTTGGCATATGACGTGTACAACCATACATGTCCTAGTTTAGAATTTAGAACCTCGGGTGCTGACCTGCACGCTGGAATGTAAACAAAGCAGGAAGAACGCTCTGCACAATGAGGGAATGCTGAAAGCATCTAAGCGCAGAAAGACCCCGTGGGAAGACTTCTTGCGCTACATTACACTTCCTCCGTGAAATGTTGCCTCCTCCTCCAAAAATTCACATTGTCCTGACCTGACAATTTTTGGGTTGAAAAAAAAAAATCACCATCCTTGTCAAGACCACGCGGGATGTGAACAGGTGCACAAGCAGCCAAGAGAGCAGCACATTTGTTCCGCGAGTAAATGTCAAATATGTTTAAACAGGATCCGGTAAGAGCAAGACGAGCCTTTTGGCACCATTGTCCCGCCGACAGACTCCAATATCCGTTCTGTCCGCCGCAGGAGCACCTGACATTTCCTGCGGAAGAACGGCTTATACTGGACCATGGCGCAGACCAACAGCGGCGGGCAGGGGACCAACGGGGTAGCGGACGAGTCCCCCAACATGATCGTTTACAGAAAGGTACGTTCAGCGATCCTATCTGTGCTTTCGACGTCTGCCCGACGAGGACCGTGTGCCGCTTGTGCGCCGAGCGTGTGCCGTTTGCCCTCCCCCGAGCGTGCTTGAAGCCGCCCAACTGCAAAAGGAATCACACAGCAAAAAGAATGACAGACGTTGTGTATTTAAATGCAAAGACAAACTTTGTTCGAGAAAGATCGCCAGCGCTAATGCTAAAGTCAATGTAAAATCCCACTGACGGGCTAAAAAAAGTTGGCATGGCATTCCGGGAGTGATATACTGTATATATACACGACAATACTCAAAAGGCATATTTTCATCATAATCTGTGAAAATAGATTTTTGCTCATCAAGCTCGAGCACAAATTTCTTCTTCTACTCTTCTTACTGTTGATGTTAGTGTGTCGGAGTTGAGATGGGATCAACATCATTTCAGGAAATTGATATTTTTGCGTTTGCAACGGTACTCGGCTTTTTCCAAAACACAAAACAGTGCTGCTAATTTTGGGGGTGTACAGCGTATGGCGACATAAGCTGATGAGGTGTGCGGCGACTGTGTGGACAGGAGCTGGCATAGTTAACAATATCGGTTGAAGGCACTTTTGTCTGCATTCATGGAGGAGAAGTGACACCGCCAGGATGCGAGCACGTTAGTGGAGTATATTTGGAGAATGGCGACACGCCGTGAAATCCCGTTTTAAATTCTGCATGCGTATACGTTCGGTTGGCAAAGAAAGAGGATTTTGGGTGGAGCCTTAATCGGAAGATAAAATGTTTCAAACTCGAGGCGGGATTCTAATTTTAACACCTGTAATGTGACAAAAAGATGGACGAGCGTGCGCACGCTGCTCATTTGATCGCAATCTTTTGATGCGTTGACGATGAAACCATTTGTGGAAATTGCTTCCCTGCCAACAGGAGAGGCTTCTGTTCCCCAGTGGCCCAGACTTTATTAGCCACAAAAAGATAACACAAAAAAAAAAAGAAAAAAGGGGGGCTGATCCATTTTAGTCTCCTACTCGCTGGCGTGTAAAAGCATGAAGCCAAATTCACTTAGCCTTGATGCTAGGCTCCCATAATCAAGTGCGAGCCGCAGTATTACAGCCTTCGCTATGCGCGAGAACATGTATCGCTGCCCGATGGGCCGTTTGACGATTTGCTTCACGTTCAGGTGCAGCCATAAAGTGAACATTTTCTCATTTTACTTGCGCATGAGTCAGACGTGCAGTCAATTTTCGCCATTTCGCCCGCTTCACCGTTCGGTGAGCGCCACCGTTCCATCTGCTCCCGCGCGGCGGGAAGCGGATGCGCTTAGCATGATACCGTAGTTTGCCGCTTTTTTCCCCCCCCAATAGCGCTTGCGTGCTCATGGAATATCATTGCCAGGGAGGGACAGGATTTGGTGGGCTAGTGGCACACAAAAAAAAACATTTGCTGCCTTGAGTCATCATCTTCAGGAAGTAACCAAAGAAAAGTGACAGGCTCAGGTTCGTTCACATCCTGACCCAACAGTAAATTTGACACGAAACTGGATTTATTTGACTCGTGAAGATGTTTGCTGTAGTCCAACCATGATCTGAACCGCTTTATCTTCACGAGTGTGGGGCTCCCCCTAGTGGTACGTCACAGTAAGCACGTCGTCGATGCCGACTGGCTGTCGCCGAAGACGGCGGACTGGGCCGGCTTGGAATAATGATAAATATGATGACCGACGGATTAACGTGCCCATCGAAGGAGACAATACAGAATTTTCACTCACGGAAAGCAGCACTTCAAATAATCAGCGTGCCATATATGTGCAAATATCCTAACAACCACTGCATCAACTTCAGCTTATCGCCTTCAGCGGGTGCTGAGCTCTGCATTTTGAGCAAAGTCATTACAGCTCTGCTTACCTTTTGGCTTGGGTTTTTCCGGACCGCGTGGTCCGGGCCACGGCTTGAAATTGTCAGATCTTCGCAGGCCTGGCTGCCAAGTGGGCGGTCGATTGCTGAGGATTCAGAACGGCTCGTTCACTGGCACACGTTCAGAAAGAATGACAGATAACAAAAGAATTGCTTGGCTGTTAAATTATAAACAATCACTCCACAGACGGACGGCGCCGAAAGCTCAGCCGAAACAAAAGCATCCTCTGGTCCGCTTTTTTTGGGGGGGGGGGGAGCCCTCAAAAAAGCTTCATGCTTTCACACACAACCTGCCTCTGTGCTTCGAGCGGACCTTTGTTCTGGCACGCACTTTCCTGACCTACATACGCGGCGCCGCGAAAGGGAAAAGGCCCGTGACGGCAGCCAGGATGAAAACGCCGCTTCTGGAATGACTTTGGGTCAAACTTCAATGAGAAGGCAGGGGTCTCGGGTCAGGCGGATGACAGATGCTTTTCAGATGCAAGTCGAGGCGGCGACCCGCTATGGCTGGGCCGTGCCGTCTGCGGTAAAAAAAAAAAAAAAAAAAGCGTTCTTAAGTGGAGAGAGAGAGAGAGAGAGAGAGAGAGAGAGAGAGAGAGAGAGAGAGAGAGAGAGAGAGAGAGCGCCAGATCTTTTCATCGGCGACGTCTCTTTTGCCTTCTTGTCATAAACTCGCTGTGTAAACACCGCGGTCAATGTTGATATTAGCTCGCTCTCGTCTCCTCAATAGTTACCGTCGGGAGTTGCGTAACAAGAGCACAGGGACTTCTCTGGTTAAGGACAGTGCATGCTAGTTAAAAGAAGTGCTTCAAACCGAGCACCGTAAACTGCCATGTTGACCTGCTTACCTTGGAGACGAGTACCGTAGCCATTTCTGTTGCCCTCAAGGATGCCTCAGCCACAAAGAGTCCCAACACCGTACACAGTACAGGACCTGTTTTGCACAATGAGAGAAAAAAAATAAATAAAACACCTCAACACAATAGTGTGCATGGTTCTAATACTGAGAGGAAAAAATAAACTCACATCTTTGTAACAAAAAAAAAAAATTAGCTAAATTAGCTAATGAGAACTGATGACTCCACTTTACCTGCAGTTAAACGCGTCGTTTCAGACGTGCCCCCTGCTGTCTCCCCGTTTTGTTTTTCTTCTGCCTTGCCGTCAAAGTCCCCACGTTCGCAATCCCAATCGCCTCCATTTCTTTCTCTTCAAGACCCGCCGCACACCGAGCAACATGGCCCAACGCGACCAAAATGGGCCACCGTAAACAAAATTACAGTCGGTGACTCATAACCCTCACCCTGGCAATTGACCTTTGCAAATGTCAACTTGCCGCGATGGAAAATCTGTGACCCCCCCCCCTCCCCCCCTCCTTTGGTCTTCTAATAGCTAAACACTGAGGAACCACATGTACTGTAGTGTATTATTTTGAACAAACCACCAACATTGCGAGACGATTAAGTAAGAAGCAGACTGCCCCGACTGCTGTAGCGACAGTATATCATCATAATACAAAGAGAGGAAATGAGTGAGAGTGCAAGAGAGTGTGTGTGTGTGTGTGTGTGTGTATGTGTGTGTGTGTGTGTGTGTGGATATTTGAGAGGCTACCTGCAATGATTGCCCCGTTCGATCATTCACAAAGACTCTCCACACTTCACTTTTTAGCCATAGGGGCATGATTGTAAAACACGCTTCATAGATACCGGTCATACTGGAAAGTATGGCTTGGCGGCAGGACAGCCAAACTCTCCAGGATATGTCACCCCCTGCCACCCCCCAAAAAATCTAGAGAGATGTAAAACACCCACCGGCCCCTAGCGCATGTGTGTGTCCAATCCCGTGTGCGTGGCATGAATAATATGGCGACGCATGCATGAACATGGCGGCGCGTAGCGTGATGTCGGCCGAACGCTGCCAAGAGAGCGAGCTGAATTTTTCATGCAAGCCTAAAAACACAAGTTCACGGCCACTACGCGAGAGAGGGGGTGGGGGGCGGGGGGGACATCGGCGCTCGCCAGCCGGGGCCTTTTTGTGTGCCGCGACATGCAGTGTCAAATATAGATCTTTTTTAATACGGCGTTACTCACCAGCGTCTTGCGACGACGCAGCAGCACAAAGGCTGAAAAAGCAGAAAGGCGCCGCCCTTTGTGGTCAGACTGTGGCCGTTCGTACTTGACTCCTTTTCATGTCGAATCGTGACAAGTGAGGATCGGTGCAGTTGTGAATCAAAATGGATTGATGCAAAGAGCATTTGTTGTGCTGCAAAAAATATTCATCCTTTGTTGTATTGTTATTTTTATTCTGCTTCTGCTGTTATTTTGAATCCGGACTTCAAAACACAATTTCTTCAGATTTAATTTTGTTTGTTGCGACTCTCGACTTTTCCCCCGTCGGTGGCCGCCTTCCACCGAAATGGACCCGCGAGTTGACGTCCCCGCGCGTTAACAAGCTCGGGGTCGTCTTCCAAGTCCTTTCTATTGTTTTTAATCTATCCATTTTTGTCAACAGCGTCTCCGAAGATGGCCATTTTCCCCAGGGAATGGCAATCCGGCGTCGCGCTGAAACGCACCATTATCCTGTCAAGTGTCTGGCTGCCGAGCCACCGGTCCACTCATATTTACATCTCGGCTGGCGATGGGGCCCCTGTGTGTGTGTGGATATTTGAGAGGCTACCTGCAATGATTGCCCCGTTCGATCATTCACAAAGACTCTCCACACTTCACTTTTTAGCCATAGGGGCATGATTGTAAAACACGCTTCATAGATACCGGTCATACTGGAAAGTATGGCTTGGCGGCAGGACAGCCAAACTCTCCAGGATATGTCACCCCCTGCCACCCCCCAAAAAATCTAGAGAGATGTAAAACACCCACCGGCCCCTAGCGCATGTGTGTGTCCAATCCCGTGTGCGTGGCATGAATAATATGGCGACGCATGCATGAACATGGCGGCGCGTAGCGTGATGTCGGC